AATAATAAACAACTCCTGATTTATGTACTGCACAGCCCTGTAAATGTATTCAATGCATATTATATTATTATGTCTAAATTAAATGTAAGTCTGTATATTTTCAGCCACCGACTGCAACTCTATTAATAAACCGTTTATTATTATTATTATTATTATTATTATTATTATTATTATTATTATTATTATTATTATTATTATTATTATTATTATTATTATTATTATTATTATTATTATCATCGTGAACAACAGAGTAAGTTCCCCCTCCTCGCCCACCTGCCTAGTATCTCCCACACACTACTGGGGGAACCTCTCTACCTACCTACCTACCTACCTGTACCTGCCTGCCTGCCCACTGACCCAACAATTTCAGTATTTTCATTTAGTTGATCTACAAAAACTCCTCTCGCTTAAATTAAACTGAAGTAAAAAAAAATGGAAAATATATTAAATTTTATTGGTTAACTATTTCAGTTATGAATCACAAACTGTAACTATATTAATTCCTTTAGTTTGACAATAACAGTAAACTCAGCATCGTGAGTTAATGGGTTAGAGAAGGTGTAGTAGGGGGCAGGGAAAAAACACTTTTATTTGAGTTGCAGGCTGCACTTTTCAGGCATCGTTTGTATGGCTGTAACAAACACCTGTGCAAAATTTCATGCCATTTCATGCATACTTACCCTGCCGCATCGCGAACGACTTTTTGTCAACTTTTAGTGTATACCAAAAATTAGGTGTCATTTAATGTTTTCCAGGATAATGATACATTTTACATGGGTGACATCGATTTAATTCACATGTTATTTTACAGGTACACTGTATAGAAAATCATTACAAGTTCATATTGAAATTCTTTTTTGTGCGGAACCTTGGCATCATTTTCCTAGACAATAATCTTTGCCTAATATATCCATCTCTCGATTCGTATCCCGTCACTTCAGTGCAAGCTTCAGTCATCACTTTTATGCCTCTCGACCGCCTGAGTGCTGTTTGGCCACTTGGGCACCACTAATGGTGTCTCAAGAATGTCATTAACCTGTAGATTTGACAGAGAAGCAATGTAAGGAGGCTCAGTCTTGAGTTCATTCCTCCAGTTAATCATGGAATGATAGTTTTTGCTTGCCACTTTAGTTTCGGAGTCACCACCTTTCTCATGTTGACTACAGGAGGCACATCCTCATTCCCATCTCCATCTTTACCCTCCTCATCAGTATAGTTTAACAAATTCTCGTCAACAGCAGCATCAGAATCTTCCTCCCCCTCTTCAGATCTGCCAGTGCATTCTTCCTTTTGCTGATTCTCCTCTCTAATTTTTCTTATCATTGAGACAGCTTTTTCTCTAACAGTCATGTCCTCATCTGCACACATACCAAGAAGAAGTTGATCTGTGTGGGCGAAGTATGCATTTCTCTGACAGCCTTCTTCACTATCGTCTCCTCCTCACTATTCAGGTGTTTCATATATAGCAGGGACTGGAATACGTTCCTTGAGCCGTGTGTTACGTAAGGGTGTATCTTGATGTAAAACCACATTGGAGCACTGAACTTTATTATTGTAATGACAATTCTTTTCAACTCATGGCTGGGTCTTGATGTTGCTACATACAGCCTGAGGATTCTACTCCATAAGGTGTTCCACCTTGACACACAGGGAGGACCTGGCTCAATAGCAGCCAAGTTATCTTCAACAACACCTGTGATAACTCCTTTACAAATCCTATACAGGTATTTCTGATCCCAGGACAGATCTTTCTCCACTTCATCATTAAACACAGGGAAATCAGGGAAACTGACTGGCTGGAAGGCGACAACTGGAAGCTCAGACAAAGACTCCTTGATCTGCTTTCCAATGGGACCACGCCAATGCTCAGGACCACTTGGTTTACCATCATAGTGATAAAAAACTGCGCGGAAAGGCAGCTCATTTCCGTGAAGCTGACATATGAAATAATGGAGTGGGTGACCAAGTAACATTTCAAGATGATGAATGACTCCATTTTCTGATCCTACATTTACATTGGTTCCATCACAACCAACACACACACAATGGGCTGCTGGGTTAGATTTTTCTCCACCAGAAACTCGTGAATAGTTTTGGCAATCTGCTTTCCGTGTCCAGTCTTGGGAGTCACATGTGTGAGATATTCATTGCCAGGCTCAACCATGATGACATAATGATCTTTCACCATCATCCTCGAACTCCATTTCTCGGTCTTCTCATTCTTTATCATCACACGAGTGGCGGTCTTCTTACCATCAAAATAGAGTGACGTCAAATTATCTAAACTATCCATCTCAATTTCTTGCCTCTTAAATCGGTATTTTTGTCTCGCATCCCGCAGCTTATGTGGTCCAATAACCTGACTCTTGTCATCCTTTGTGATAATGCCATAGTCAGTTAAGGTGGCAGTAGCAATGGCAGCTCCAGCATAATCACTAATCAAGTATCGGTCACAAGCGGCAGCCAGTGTAGGGAGTCTTGTCCGGTTCTGTGAACTGGTGTCTGTCAGAGCCCTTGGATCAAGACGTGCGGCGTCTCAGAATGACTGCTTATGGGTGACTGAGGAAGCACGTGGTGATCCTGCGGTGTGAACTGCTTAACGTTAACTATTTGAATAATTTCAAGTGCGCCAACTTACCCAGGTCTCCCCTACATTACAGTACAGTAACACAACATTGAGAAATGAAATGAGAAAAGGCTGATAATCAATATAGACATAGCACCATACTCATCTGCAACAAGACAACTTGAATGAAATAAGAGATATGAAAAAAAAGTTGATAAACACTGAACAGAACATTGCACCGCCACAGCGGCTGTTTGGCTAGTACTGTAGGTAAATGTAAAAATTTCTGTAGAAAATGCGGCAGACTAAACCTCGACATATCAGCTTCAAATTTGGCATGGAGTCTTAGATATGTATAAGGAACAATGCCTGAAGAGTGCAGCTTTGAGCAAATTTTCACTGCCCCCTACTGTACTCCCTCCCTCCCTCCATCACACACCCTGCCTCTCTTGCTTCCTTTGCCCTCCATAATTGTTTAATTAATAAGAATAAATAGAAAACAGAGATAAGAAGGAAACATTATGTCTGGGGAAAAAGTTATTTTCTCCTCATTCTCTCGTGTTACTGACCTGACCTGATGCAATAGCAGGTCACCCATTGTATATAAACTCTTCTCTCCTTATGAGTGATGCTGGGGTGGGGGAACAGTGGTCTCATATTACTGACCTGATGTATTGTCAGGTCATCCATTGTCAGGGTGGGGAATTAGTGGGTCTCATGACCTGAAGTATAATGTCTTGAATAAAGACAAAAGTAATATACAATACTGTAGAAGTTTATTAAAAAAAATATTTTATACAATAAATTAACTTGTTTATTATCAAAATTTATATGTACACTAGTCTTCAATGGAGATACTGTACTTTGGTTTAATCAGATTGTTATAGGCCTAATGAGAGCTAATAGGTAGATGACACTTGTGTAAACGTGGAGGAGGACGGGGGGTCGTGCCTCGTTTGTTTATTATAGTCTTGTATGATTAGCCTCTTATGATGTGTTTTATCATCAATAATGTAACATACAGTAATAAATAGAACAAAATTATATATACAGTAATTTGTAATTTGACTTCAAAATAAAAAGAAAATGTAAAAGGAAACACACATGACATTTTTTGCACATTATAATACAAATTTAAAGGTCATGGTTGAGGACCCCAGACAATCGGCAAGTCCAGACCCCGTTTCCCCCAAATTGTCCGGACTTTCAAGGGTTTATTGTACTGTCTAGTAGTCACTCTGGTAGAGGTAAAAGATGAGTCATTAGCTTGATGGCCCAACAGTGATCTAATAGATTGTGTTTCTCACTCCCTTGTAAGTAGAGTAATACTCATATCTCCAGACAAGTTTGAGAGGATGTCAAATTTGTTGGTAGAAAAGTTAGAGTCTATTGGTAACTTTGAACAGGAGGCTATAAAAGGTGTGTTACTGAGCTGGGTGGCTGTCGCAGAGTAATTTCTTTTACAATATGATTGGCTGCACGGCTACGTTGCTTGTATTTACATGAATGTGGCATGATGTTAGCCGTCGTGTCACCGTATAACAAAAATGACAAAAAGACCTGCCACTTGACATAAATGTGTATCACAAGACACAACAGAATGCTTTAAGCAGTGCCACTCTGTGCCACCACCATCTTGGTAGATAAGCACCATGTTTATACTTACACATAATATAGATACATTAACAAGAATCAAAACACACTTATACTGTACGTTGGTCACCCAGCTGACCTGAGCCGAATGCACCCGACTGTTTACAGCCAGACATATTCACTTTATCATTTGTGTTTATTTTGTGCCTTTGAGCTGTTATTTTATTGTGAAAATATCAAAAAGAGAAGCAGTTACCTCATGGGTAATGGTGAGAAGAAGAAAAGAAAGCACCATTTATTATCAATAGTGGAGATGTGTTCATAAAGTTATTTTATTGTCAACACGAGTAACACATTAATAAATGGACATATATTGTACATTCCCAAACACCTACACGTCCATTAAGTCTGGATGTTTACTATACTGGTAACATAAGATACATAGTTTACATACAATCTTATATAATGACCATATAGGATAACTTACAGTATATATTGAGCACCATTAAAGAGTACAGTATGTACTTTATACTAGAGTACGGTACAGTGAAAAAAGTGAAAGTGGGTCCCATAGGCATGACTGCCTGTTAAAGACAGAGTGGACACAACACACTGTATACTAAGCCTTCAGTACACAAGGAGGCAGCATGGCCGGTACTGCACTCGACTGCATTCACTTCCCCAAGTTATAAACTCAGGTACCCATTTACAGCTGGATGAACTGGGAGCGCCCGGGAATCGAACCACCGATCCCCGGAACAGGAGCCAAGCGCTGTATCTGCTCGACCCCCTGGCTCCTTCTCCCTATACACTACTGAACATAAAGGCAAACACTACTAACCTGTATTTATCAATTAATAAGAGTCGCTCCTTGTCAATACAATCATATATATACTGGACATGAAAGGAGTCCCCAGTTTTGGGAGCCTCTTCTCCTTTGGACACCAAGTGTATTGTGTGTGGTCCCGTAGTTTCAGTCATTTCACCACCCCAACACTGAAATAAAACACACATGATTAAATATAATGTACTGTACAAGAGAGGTAGCCACTCTGAGGGAGACCCAAAGCATAAAATGCCTCCCAGCAGTTAGCTGGGAGGCAGAAAACAACTTTAATTTGTAAAATATATCTAGATATATATAACATCAGACTAATAATACAAAACAATTTAACCCTTAAACAATGACAACTGTAAATAGAAGATGAGTGCCTATTGTTCAACAATGATGGTGACCATCTATATAATCAGGAACTTTCACCGCCATAATCTTTAAATTTGGCGCCTGATTTCTGTTTTGAGTGATTTATTGTAACCCTTCCTTCCTTGTGCTGGTCATCCCCCCTCCTGTACAGTACAGGGGTCATTGCTATACTGTAGCTACTCTGTACCAGTATGTGCCATTCACATAAATGCCACTAACAAATACAGTCGACACTCGTTAATTCGGACTAATAGGGGGGGAAGGGTGTCCGTTTTAGACGATTGTCCGAATTAACCGATTTAGGGGTTAATATTGCATTAAATTTCAAAGTCATTGTTTTCGTCACGATTTCATCCCACTTTCCACTGTAATACGTACGTAATTTCAGCAAAAATATTACATTTCCGTGAATGTATTATATCAAGCACAGTATGAATAGAATATTATTGTAATATAACAGAATTTTAACCGAAAACTATTAAAAAAAACGAGTAACATCTCAAGAACATCGGAAGCTTAGGTAAAGTCTTTTGTTTTCGTCATGTATTTTATCCTATTTTACATTGAAATACATCACGTTTCAGCAAAACTACTACAGTATTTATTTCCGAGAATATATGCATTCAGGCGCAGTTTAGGTAAAATATACGTGTGATGTATTAGTTTTTTAACTGAAAACGATTCGAAAAACACGTACCCTCTAGCCCTGTTCAAGGAGAGGACTGGGAGAAGCTTTTTGGTGCTGCAGACAATGACAAGGAAAATGATTTATATGGATTTTAATGAAAATATTCAGAAATATGGTATCGTAGTATTTATTCAAGTCAATCAGGATAGAATATTATTGTATTACAACAGATTTTTAACTGAAAACCAATAGAAAAGTGATTACGGTAACATCTTTTGAACGAAAGAAAGCGAAAGTCATTGTTTTCGTCACAATTTTATCCCACTTTCCACTGTAATACGTACGTCATTTCAGCAAAAATATTACATTTCCGTGAATGCATTATATCAAGCACAGTATGAATAGAATACCATTGTAATATAACAGTATTGTAACCAAAAACTATTAAAAAAAACGAGTAACTTCTCTTGAACATCGGAAGGTTAGGTAAAATCTTTTGTTTTTGTCATGTACAGTGAGTTCTGCTATAACGCGTGTTTTGACAACGCGAATTTGCTCTAACGCGATTTATGAATTGAGGAACGATATTTGTAAAATGCGAACTCGTTTGCTCCAACGCGATTCCACTCGAACGGTTGTTATGGCTTCAGTTCACGTTCGACATCACATGTTCAATTGAGTTATGTGTTTTGTTTGTGAACAATTGCAGAAATAATGTACAGTATGTAATATTTATGTATACAGTATACCTATATATTATAAGTAAATTGTAAAATTTTAAATAAAAGAGAAAATCAAATTACATAGCGTTTTACACCTGCGCTCTCTTTACATCACACACAGTGTTTACAGTTCACGTTCGACATCACATATTCAATTGATTTATGTGTTTTGTTTGTGAAGAATTGCAGACATAATTTATGTAATATTTGTGTGTGTGTGCCAAGCTGAAGAAGATGCTCTCTCTCTCTCTCTCTCTCTCTCTCCCCCTACTCTCTCTCTCTCTCTCTCTCTCTCTCTCTCTCTCTCTCTCTCTCTCTCTCTCTCTCTCTCTCTCTCTCTCTCTCTCTCTCTCTCTCTCTCTCTCTCTCTCTCTCTCTCTCTCTCTCTCTCTCTCTCTCTCTCTCTCTCTCTCTCTCTCTCTCTCTCTCTCTCTCTCTCTCTCTCTCTCTCTCTCTCTCTCTCTCTCTCTCTCTCTCTCTCTCTCTCTCTCTCTCTCTCTCTCTCTCTCTCTCTCTCTCTCTCTCTCTCTCTCTCTCTCTCTCTCTCTCTCTCTCTCTCTCTCTCTCTCTCTCTCTCTCTCTCTCTCTCTCTCTCTCTCTCTCTCTCTCTCTCTCTCTCTCTCTCTCTCTCTCTCTCTCTCTCTCTCTCTCTCTCTCTCTCTCTCTCTCTCTCTCTCTCTCTCTCTCTCTCTCTCTCTCTCTCTCTCTCTCTCTCTCTCTCTCTCTCTCTCTCTCTCTCTCTCTCTCTCTCCTCTCTCTCTCTCTCTCTCTCTCTCTCTCTCTCTCTCTCTCTCACCTCTCTCTCTCTCTCTCTCTCTCTCTCTCTCTCTCTCTCTCTCTCTCTCTCTCCCCTCCCTCTCTCTCTCTCTCTCTCTCCCCTCTCTCTCTCTCTCTCTCTCTCTCTCTCTCTCTCTCTCTCTCTCTCTCTCTCTCTCTCTCTCTCTCTCTCTCTCTCTCTCTCTCTCTCTCTCTCTCTCTCTCTCTCTCTCTCTCTCTCTCCTCTCTCTCTCTCTCTCTCTCTCTCTCTCTCTCTCTCTCTCTCTCTCTCTCTCTCTCTCTCTCTCTCTCTCTCTCTCTCTCTCTCTCTCTCTCTCTCTCTCTCTCTCTCTGTATGAATGGAATTCGTGGTTTAGAGTGAGTGAATACTACTACTTAAACACATCAAAACTATGTTAATTGATCACTGTATAATAAATTCATTCACTCATAATTTCAAATTCCCTTATCATCCGGTGTTATATACAGAAATACTTGAGTCCCTGAGCGAGTACACAAAAAGAAAACGGAGGACTAAGACATCCTGGAGTGGATAGAGAACGGACATCTCTACTGGGGGACTCAAACGTTTCTCATGTTTTGTGGGCGCTCTAGCATAATATGAATAATATGTAAATTACAATTTACACACACACACACACATATATATATATATATATATATATATATATATATATATATATATATATATATATATATATATATATATATATATATATATATATATATATATGTAACCGGTCGGAATTTACTGGACTTTAATTTCTCACCTGACTTGGGGTTTATTAAAAATTAATAGATGGTAATGGCAGTGGAAGCGCCCCTTTGAGAAAAATCCCGAACCAGCACAAGAACACTTAAATCTACTACACAAAATGAACTGTCCGTGACCCGTGGAAGGATAGCGTCTGTGACTGGGATGAATGAGACACACTGTACAATTTAGACACTTATATTCCTTCCAACACTACAAACACAATCAAATAATGGTACACCAATATGCGCACCTCTTAACTTAAACTTTAAACACTACTCTGGGGAATAAAAGTTATACATGACATAGAAATTATTAGAAACACAGGCAACAATAAATTTGAAGTATTAAGAAATGTTGTTTGCACACATGAACCGGCCTTAAGGGCTTTCACAAAATAATATCAGTCACTTAGGAAATGGTACTAAAAAATAAGAAATTAAATACTCCACAATGAATAGGCCTTAAGGGTCTTCAACAAAATAATATCAGTCACTGAGGAATGGTAATAAAAGATAAGAAAGTAAATACTCTACAATGAATAGGCCCTAAGGGCTTTCAGCAAAATAATATCACTCAACAAAATTATAGCACCCCAACAGGTGTACACTTCCTAACCTAACCTAACCACTGCTCTGGGGAACAAGGTTATACCTGAGATCAGAATTATGAAGAATTAGAGGCATTAAAAGAATCAAATCACAGTATCACTCTGGTTCCACTTAATGGCACAAACATTCAAAAAAACACTACTATCAAAATTATTTAAGAAATATTAAACTACACACGTCAAGATAATATCAGTCTGAGGAATGGTGTTAACTACACCCGTGATAAGGAAGATAAAATGTTCCTCTAGGTATCTCCTAGAGTCCTAGACTCACGGTCTCAGTGTGTGACCATTAATATACTCAGATAGCCTCAGTGTACTCCCAGTGCGTCCATGGGCAGGACGAGAGTGAGCCAATCAGACCTTGTGCAGTTGAGAGAAACTTTAGCTTCCCGTTAGCAAGAGGGTTTCACTAGCTGACCGAGGACACGTGGTGTTGTGCACCGGAGTGGTAAGAACTGATCACCCACTGCCGATGCTGGTCCCGTGTCGTTTTAGTTGTCGGGAGCACTCGTTCACTCAAGAGATCCTTTGCTACCCCGCTAAACAGTGACAGGCCTACACTGATCGGTCCAATGGCGACAATCGCCACCCTCAATCATCAACGGCAGTCAATCTCTCGCAGTCAACTCCGGTCAACTCCAATCAACTCCGGTCAACTCCAATCAACTCCGGTCAACTCCAATCAAGTGGGTTCTGACGGAAACCCTGAAATGAACTCACTGTTAGCTCTAGTTTACTTTATCACTGCCCTATCTAACCCTGTCTGAGATCGAATGAGACTTACTTGTTATACTGCAATAGCGCAGCACAGGTGACTAGGCCACGTGACTATTTCTGATGGACGCGCGGAACGTCTTGTCTGTGTGAATGCTCTCCGGGACTGGGCCTAGCCAGCGTCGCGTCTCCCCACGGCGTTAGCTTGGTCCTACGTGATATATTTACCGCCTAACTAATAACTCCTTGGGACACCCGTAACATTATTCAGACTGCTAAGCGATCTATAATAATTTCAAATTCAATAATAGTCCCTAAACTTCATGAATCGCATCATTATTAATTCGGTAAATCACATTTAATATCATATAGGCCTAGTTCCGCAATCTCTCGCTACGAGCAGGCAGCGCTCCCTCCCCTCAGATGACCTTGAACGCTCAGTATCACTCATGGCGGGGCATTTGAAATTACTCTGAAATTTCTGAATATTACAATCGACCCCCCTAAAAAAAGACAGCACTGTCCTCATGTGCTGAGAAAACATGCATACGACCCCCCTAAAATTTTGTTCTAAGGACTGCACC